ATAGTTTTTTACTTGAAAAAAAGGGACAGCAGTGCAAAGAAAAAAATGTATCTCCCCATATTGCTGTTCTCAAGCAGAAGTAATGTGTTTGTATGGTTTTTATCCTTAAAAGATTGAACAGTCATTTTATGTCTGATATTTTTTTCCCACCCATCAGAATCGTCACTGATGAGTTTTGTCAGCGGAGTTATTTATTGATCAGACTCTCTTCCTCCATTCTTGAGCTCGGAGCAGATGCCGGGGGGCCTCGGTGAGAAAAAGAATGGCTTGGTGGTCTCCGTCTTGAACCCTCAGAACGGGTGGGTGGGCTGGGGGGGGGGGCTCCTCCTGTCTGTGAGGGTGGATGAATAATGTTTTGGGGAAGGGTTGCCAGTCAGCTGTTCTGCCACATGCAACTATTTGGCTAGACTTCCAAAGTGGGTGTTGGGATTTTAACCCCCCTAATTGTAGAGACATTATTTGCCTCAGCATAGTTTGTCTGCCCCGAGACAGATTGATACCCGGCCACCGTTATACTGGGATCATGGCTCTCCAGTCATGCCTCCAGCATTTCATAATCGAGGCATAAATTAGTCATTCTCATACCAAGACGGACGCATCCCCTTCCGAAAAGCCATTAGTGCAGATGCGTGTTGTCGAGGAGGGCTCAGGGTTTCTCTGGGCTCAGTCTGGGGCATAATTGTGACTCTATGCTCTCTTCGTGGCTGAAAACAGGCCAGTTCAAGTCCAACCGACACATTTGGGTTTTCAAGTGGAAATAAAAGCAGGGTCTGAAGAAATTATAGTTAAGGCTTTAAAACCATGTTCGGAAGGGTATTACCGGAGGCATATGAACTCCACGTGCACCATAACTGCATTAGGGTTGGGTTACTGCAGATTATGGCGATGGAGCACGAGTTGATGAATTATTACAGTGATGAAATGTATGTAATAGTAGCTGGTTAAGTGTAAATGTTTCTTGGGAGGTCATAAGGTCAGCAACCGGGGCTATTTCAAGGTCTGGGTTGTAAAGTTTGTGCTTTCACAAAGAAGTTTGCTTGTGGATACATCCCCAGTGTCGGAGACTTCCATATCTATATGAAATAATAATTGTTATCATACCGTAAAAACGCTAATGCGATGTTTTTATCTGAAATGCTCAGTCTTAGCTCCCGTACCTTTTAAAATCCAATAGTCACAGTTGGGCTGAACACAGTGGTCAGTTTCTCTCTTTCTCCAGTCAGGAAGCACTTTTGGTACAATGGGGCTCTCAGACAGATCGCTGTCCCTAAACCCATTTTTCATAGTGTGGAATGTTTGAGATTAAAGATGCCCAAGAAGGAGAAGAACAAACGGTGCCCCCCACCCCATGATTTAGGATCTCTTAAAGCTAATATAAAGTCTGCTCCTCATTTATATTCTGGCCCTTCTGGCATCACACCTCGGTGGCTGATTCTCTCCCCTCAGCAGGTCTCCGTTTAGGGACCGTTAGTTGGCGCGTCTCAGCTGCAGAGCGTTTTAAGTCGGTTGGATTTTAGGGGTCACCGCCTGGCTGGCTTTTTCTCCCCATCCAACCGGCGGAGCCACCGGACTGCTCCCTGCTCCCTAATCCTCCAAAAAGCAGCCCTCTGGTGCCTCAGCGTCCAGCTGTATCTCACCCAGACATCCGCTCGGTGCACACAGGAGTTACTCAAGTGCTAAATATTTATGTTAAGAACTTTCTGCATATTTCCCCTTTTCATTCTATTAAAATCAGCCTATTAGACCGCATATAATATCTGTAACTATTCCTTCTTTAGAGATAAAGACATGGTACACAAAAAAAGATGGTATAAAACTGATTCTGGAAGTAAATTTAGTTGTACTTTGTAAAACGCGTTTTAAATACCTACAAGAGGATCTTTTACATGACAAATCTTCAGCATTTGGAAGTTTTGGTAAAGAATTTGCCTAGATCTGCAGGTCCATTTGGATTCGTAAATTCAAACATTTTTAGAGGAAAGTTATGGTCGCAGATTCTGTTTTTTTGTCTCCACCCTTGTTTCTTCTGTTGGCAGATCAGCAGCTGCTTTTTGTTCTACGCTAAGCACAATTCAATTCAATTCAATTTGATTTACATAGCGCCAAATCACAATAACAGCTATCTCACAGCGCTTTCCAAAAAGAGCAGGTCAAAGGTATTTACAGAAGCCCAACAATTCCCAACAACAGCTCTTAAAGCTGTAAGCACTAAGGACAGTGGACCTGGAAGTGCATACAGCACCCAAAGAAACTCAGAAACTCAGATAACCAAATGAATAAATAAATAAACGTCGCACAGACCTTTTATTTTTTTGAACCGTGCTTCACACACTGCTGCTCCTCCGGGTGTAAATAAGGGGGTCACTCGCTGAGGGATTTGGGAGCCCTCTTCTGCCCGGGGGGCAGCAGCTGGCAGTCCAGTGAGCCCCAGCGCGCACATCTGGCACAGCTGGCTGGATGCTGCACAGTGTGGGGCAACAGAAGCCTGAGCGGAGCCTCCGTTAACTCTTCAGGTTTGTTTGTCTCTGTTTTGACTAGGCTGACATTAACCTTTGAAAGGTCTGTGGGGCATTGCATGCAGAAATAACTTAAACATCAATTTCGATTTTTTATTTTTTTTATCTGAAAGACATCTGTCGTGTGCAGGAAGTGGCGGGTTTAACTTGTGCATCATGGGTTAGATTCACCAGCATTTTCTCCATGTGTATAATTAGTTTTTTGTTTTGAATTTTTAGCAACTTTACACTTAAGAGGTTCTCGCTCTACAGGGCTTAAAGTAGAGAGTGAAATGAGATGATTGATTGATCGATGAATACTTCATTGATCTCACAAAAAACAAGCTTCTTCCTTCCAGTGACTTAATGAAAATTCTTTTCATGGCAAATAAAAACAAACAAATGATTAAATTCAATTCAATTTATGACAAGCCTGGTTCCATAAAGCCCAACAGTACCCCGTTTATGTGCTGTAAAAAGAAAAATCTATATTTTTTCGAACAGATAAATATTATAAATGGAGGAAAATTCATTTGACATGGTTGAGGAATTCAATGATCTAATAATTAAACTAATCCGTGTGGCCCAGCAGAGAGCAAACAACTACACAAACCCACGCTCACTCCCGGGGGAAATTTGTAGCGTCCGTTTAACCGAACACGAATGTTTTTGGATGGTGGGAGGAAGCGGGAGAGAACACGCAAATTCCACACAGGAAGGTTCCAGTCCCCCCGGGGGACCGGATCCAGAAACCCTCTCTCTGTGAGGCCACCAAACCGCCGCCACGCCCTGTGCTGTTGCAAAAATATCGATAATTATTTTTAAGTTCTAGTTTCCTAGTGTTTTCTGACAAAAGTAGCCATCTCCTCCTGTCCAGTTAGCTAGCTTGTAAAGTGTCATACAACTATGTCTTTGTTTGTTTTTTGGTAAAAACTTTAATAACTGCATACACAAAAATGATCTTTTAACAATGCAACACATCTCTCTGGAATACAAAAAAATTTGAAATGACTGCAAACTCTTCTGAATTTAAAACACAAACATTTTTTTTTTACAGAAATCTGTACCACACAGAGTCGTTTCAAAGTAAAAGCCGATGAACTGTTGCTCGCCAGGAAACTCCAAAGCTCCCCGAAGCCTCCTCCTACGTTTGAAGATGAAATCTGACCCGGCCGCCGAGCGGCTTAATGAGAAATGCCTCCAGGAAAAAGCGAGAACCTGCTAAGCTTTTAAAATGTTTTAAATTAAGTCGTTTAGAAAAAGACAACATCCTGAAAAGTGACATCAGCAACGCTCTTGGTGAGCTTATCCCAGGGTGGGGCTGGCCCCCAAACCCTAGAGGTTAGAATAACACCACTCACATGTGGCATATCGGGGTATAGATTATTTGGGGGATGCATAGGGACATTTTGCTGGAGCTGGAGCTTTTGATCTACAGCGGAGTATCCCTCCTTCTTCCCTCTCGGATCATATATTAGGAGGCGAGGGGAGGAAAAGGCAGCTTTCTCCCCCTGAGCCCTGCCTAGCAAGCTAATCCGCCCGAGGCCAGAGAGAAAAGGAGAGAGACAGAGAGAGAGAGATCCGATCCAAGTGCCATATTGTGCCAGCCCTGGCCGATATATGCCACGACTCCTCTCATCATGAAGCTGCCGTACGACTCACAGCACACTCTTCATGTCCTAACTGACCGTATTCCTCCCAGACGCCGGTTTAGGAAGGACTTTACCTCATCTTTATCAAGAATCTGATATCCAACACGTAAAAAACGTTTGTATTTTTAATTTCTGGGCATCACTTACGTGTAATCTCATCATTTACAAGCGTGTGTACCTTAACCTCTAAATAAATGGCGGCAGTTAAAAATGTTCCTGGACCTTTATCTTGGAAATGTACCTTCGTTTTTGTAATAGGGCTTTTTTCCTTCTTATATTCTTTCTTGTTCTTTGGCTGGATCAACTAAAAACAAAGCTTTTCCCACTCCCCGCATTCCAGACAAAGTTTCTGGACGCGCCAACGCGGGAGGGGATTTAAACCATCTCGGGCAGGAAGCATGGAATTGGACGGTATCCTCTCAGGGCCTGGAGACGACGTTGTTAGGATCTGGTTCCATATGAATAAAAGCGAATTTGGTTGATTTTACACATTTCATGTGTTTGTGTTTGAAGAAATGTAGCACAACGCAAATGACCAAACTGTATAGATACATTTATATCTATTTATAAATCTGCTTGAAAGTGGGGATAGTTGGAACTTGGATTTCTGACCTATGTCATAAGATAAATGCGATTGGATCCGCCTGATTTCAGGTGGTCAGGCAAAAATATCGATTCGAGAAAAGATCATGAAGCTGCCTTGACAGATTCTATTCAAACTCTGGGTAGCGGGAGGCTGGGTATAAGGGGGAGACGGGGAGTGGTGCTCATTGGGACTACGTTGTGTGTAAATCAGGCCTCCAGAAGCCGGCATCAACAGCTTGTAGGCGGTTTTGCGATAAGCCCTGCAGCTATGGTTCCCTCTCAACTGCGTGGAGACCACGTCTGCCACTTTGTTTGGACAAGGCCTGACCGCTCCCTGGGCGGCGTCTCGCTCACTTTCAAGCGCCCCCGAACTCTCACTGGAAAACACTCCAACACGTCTGGCTTTGGCCTCACAGAACCTCACGCGTGTCACTTCAGGATTTACGGAGTCTCCTCAAGCTCCGTGAGAAGAACACGGGAAATCGTTAGCAGATTGTGTCCTGGCTTTGTTTTTAAAAGAGATAAACGGCCTGAAAAATGGAATTTGTTGATGATATTTTCTCTCATTTTCTTTTTCAGGGCAAATATCGATGAAGTGGAGACAGAAGTTGTGGAGATTGAGGCAAAACTAGATAAGGTAAGATGTTTGTCTTTATTGTCATGCAACCCAACCCCCCACAAAAAACACTTACCGTATACATGCATGATGTCTTTTGTCTTTTTTAAGGCTTATAAGTTCCAAGAGACGGCAAAGTATGCTCGCCATTGATATGAAGCCTTTCCAAACCAAACAGTTTGGACTTTTGTGTTCTGGATTTACAAAAAAAAAAAGTCTCACCGGATGAGGCTAATTACAGTCTTGATTTGTGTATTAAATTTAGTCATTATTAGATTTTTCCCCCCTCTCCTTGGCTCAGTTTAACACAAGTCTCCTGCTGTGACATAACATCACTCCAAAAAGCAAATGGTTTTCTTTTAAGCCCATTCTCAGTTTATATAGATCCAGACTGTCTTATTAAACTTTTAAAAAAACAACTTTTTTTTCTACTTCCATTCCATTCAGTTTTCTGAACATAGAGTGTATAATGTAACTTTTTAAACCTTTTTGTGGATAAAATTATGTTCAAATGTCAGATGTTTCTGATGTTTTCTCTCGTCTGAAATCCCATTACACTTTCAGTGACCTCAGAATCTGATGTAGGAGGTTTTCTAAAATCGATTCTCTCATGATAATTTTATGATTATTTACATTGTGATTGGCTGGTATCGCTCAGACACTGTGAATGATGCGTGTTCGTTCAGAAATGTTCATCTCTCCTCTCAGAGGCAGAACACTTCATAAATATACAAAAATATTGTTCGTAATAATCCGGGGCGAACACTTCTTCTGTGGTATTTAGACCACCAGCCATTAGCCAGAACTGTCCTAGTTTGAGCCTTGATAAACGCACATATTGAAAATCCTTTTAAAAACTAAAATGAGTGAAATGCAGTCTGAATATATCATCTTTTCCGAGTTAAATTATTAAAAAGCCAATTCATGCATCATGTAGCACCTTATGATTTTCAATAATTTTTCTTTATCATAAAAAACTAAACAGAACGGGAGGTCTTTAGGCACACGTTTCCCACATTTTCCAACATAGAGCTTCACGTGTCGTGCTGCTAGTTTGAATTTCGGGCCACTGGCGGTCACATGTCTGCGTAACGAAGGACGCTTGGCCGAACAGTTCAACAAGGGGGTTATCAAACATGACGTGGCCTTCCAAGCATCCAGTTGCCTTATAACGTGGCAGCCAGATACCATTCCCGCAATGCCAGTGCGAGGGGTCCATCTGGCCCTGGCCCTGACCGAACCCTGACCCTCGCTTTGAATCGCCGTGCACACGTCAGATGGAGCCAGGATTAGCCAGGCTGCTCTTTCACCGCCATCAGGGCTGGAAAACTCCACTTAAACGCGCATTTATCTTTCTAATCTCCGTCTAAATTGGATATCCTCTGCAGCTGTAGGATCTCTTTCGAACTCGGTTTAATTGCCAGCTTTATGAACGTTGTCTTACAAGTTGGTCAAGTTGTTTTCTTTGTTTATTTCTAAAAGTGTCACCATGAAACTAGTTAATATGATAGTGAAGAAGGTTTGTATTGTATTTACTCACCTAACAGTTTTAAAAGAACTATAAAGGGGCCTGAAATCTGAAAAGCCTAGATGGTAAATCCTTTTTCATTGGTCCTCTTCACTGAGATGACTCCAACTGGAAAATTCAGGAACTGGAACACTCTTAAATTTGGAAGTTCTCCAGCTATTTGAAATTCCCTATTATATAAAGTATTAACCTAAATTGTAATAAAGAGTTGATAGCAGTATCAGGGGATCATTTACTGAGTCAGTATGTTAGGATTGGCTCATATTTATTAACTTTAGAGGGTTACTTTGTTTTACTTTATTACTAGATTTAGTAATGGATTTCATATAACGGTTTTGTTCATTTTAAGAATTATACTCAGACACTGACTTCATGTTATGTCTATAGTTGCACTTCCAGATTTCTCTTTTTTTTATGCAACATTAGACATTAGAGACATTGTTTTTTTTTACAAGGATCAAGCACTCACATTTTCTAATCACATCTCAGTGGAACCTGCATGGATTGGGAGCTGGCCCGATCACAGCAGTTGGTTCTGGCCAATCAGACTCGGACTTCTGTACGGGTCAGCCCCAGCCCAAGAATATAAATGCTCGTTACGCCCGGGGCTCCAGGCTCTTTTCTGATAGAGATCCTCATTGAGCTCTGTCAGTTAAGAGCCCAGCGCGCCCATATACTTTACACGTGACAGGAATAAATGAACATTTGTACTCCGGTTTATTCTCGGGCTTCCAATAAAATAATCGGGCTAACAAACATGTTCTGCAAAAAAGTTGAAGTCACGCACTGGAGCAAATCAGTTGCTTTTGACACACAGGAGTCGTGCTAATGTTCTGGTCTGTTTTTCATCAAAAAAGCGAGACCGAGCGGCTTCTTTAAGAAAAGACTGCGAGCTCCGCGTCTGGTTCGCAGCTGAGCGGAAACAGGGATATTGCTGGGAGAGAGGGATGCTGAAAAGCCAGAGTCTGGCATTTGAACACAGAGGAAATCTTTCCACAAAAGAAAAAAGATAAAGCCCGCTTTGCGAGCACTTCTGCTGACACAAGCAAAAGACATTGTAGATGGAGTATTAACATCCCAAAAAACAAAACAAAGCCAAAGCATTCATGGCCGTTTCTGGTATCAATTATCACGTCTCGGGCCAAATGAAGCCCCTCTAGCTGGTGAAGGGGTGCTAAAAATGAGCCCCACACGCTCTGAGCGGGTCAACTTAGGTAACGGTCATCACAAATACGCAAACGCACAAAGGTTTTTCTTTTGTGGTGGCTGAGAGTAGGACGGGAAAGTTGTCGGTGCTCCAGTGATTGAGCCTCGGGTTGAAATCAGAAGTGTTTTCTAAAGTTCTGGCACATGTAAAGAGCCAGTGCTATCTCACTTTAGCACCATTCTAACTAAATAAAGAATTGTGTCCTGAAAAAAACAGGAACATTGAACTGGTGCCCATCGATATTTCCTAGTTGGAGTTATTGAACATTCTCGGGGTGGCACTTGAGTGAAGTAGATGTGGACAGAGTCTTAAATCAAATGTGCTTGCCCCTAAATTGGACCTTTTTTCAAAGGTCCAGTTTGAAAATGAATAAGCCTAGATGACACATCTCACGGTGGAGTATCTAAATAAATGACACTTTCCCTGAACCCCTCCGTGTGCTTCGGTCCACAGCTGGTGAAGCTATGCGGCGGGATGATCGAAGCCGGGAAGGCCTACGTCGGCGCCAACAAGCTCTTCGTCAACGGCATCCGGGACCTGTCTCAGCAGTGCAAGAAAGACCAGATGATCTCGGTGGGTTCCCAAGAAGCGGAGACGTCCGATCGACTGCCTTTGATCCTATACGTCCCATTTACTGTGGTTTGACTTTTGGATTTCTGGATTTTTTAATGAGCGTCCTCTGTGAATGGGGACTTTTTTCTCCTCCTGCCCACAGCTCTGTCCGTGTGTGAATAAGCCCGATTACTAACAGATTAGTCAGCGAGTAGCAGGTTGAGCATGGAAACTTGTGGCTCAGCCCCACACCACATGGGTTTTTTTTGGGCTATTTTGACGGCCGTCGACAAGAAGCACTATTAAAAGCCTTCTCTGATTCAGAGTGTCTGACTAATCGCGAGTTTCACGTCAAGTTCTTATTCTCATTTGTAGTTTTCCATCTTAAAAAAAAAGAAAAAAAGTGAATCACTTCTACAGTAACGGCCCCGTTTCCAACAAGTGATTCAAAGAGCATTTCAGTGACATTGACCCGATGGACCCCATGGATTTTTTTTTTCATTTACATCCATTTACAATTCAGATCAATCGTGGTTGTAGCATGTGACAGTTTTTAGTAGTTGTTCCTGTTCACGAAAAGTCCAGTAGGGAATATATCTGCTCGTGCTGTGTGGCTAAAGAGCGCTTTGTGGTGTTTTTTTTTACAGGAGTGCCTGGAAAAGTGTGGCGAGAGCCTACAAGAGATCATTAACTACCACATGGTGAGTAGATCATGTGACCCATATACAGTCAATTGTGGATCCCGATGTGTAAATGGAAAAAAATTCCACTCGGAGGCGTCCAATGTCTTTTTCTTTTTTCTTGCTTCACGCGTTGTTAAACTTGTGTCTGAATTGTCTCAAAATGATTTTTTTGTGTGAGAAGGCATTTACTTTTATTAATAACTATACGTCTAAAGTTTAACCCATAAAACTTAAGTTACGGCCACAATTAAAGTGAGATATGACATGCCATGTTGTAAAACTGTTATTTGTCCTTCGTTATTGCCGATAAAAAACAGAACTTTTTGGCTAACTGGTTACTTATTATCTTTTATGTCCCAGTTTATGACCGATTCTTATAACCATGCCATGACCTTTTTTGGCAATATTTATACATAAATGACAGATAACTTGATCACTATTAATTATATATGGATCAAAGTGCATTTTGACGTGTTTGTTAATGTGTGTGTTTATAATTCATTACATGTTTCTACCCAAGCATCCACTTTCACTTGTGACAGTTTATTATAAATCATTTATCAACTGTCTTTTTAATTTGATTTCAGTTATCAATGCGTGGCGTTTGCTTGCCCAGCATCTTGTCAAATAACTGACAGCTGGATGCATTTGTTAAATATACTGTACACTATTTTATTATTTTATAAATCAATACAAATTTAGTAGGGCTTGTGGCCTTTTGCTAAGTGCAAAGGTTATAGTTTAAAACATTTAAAAACACACTTAAATGCTTAGTGAACAGAAATGATACAAAATAAATAGTAAAAATAAAGAAAATGGTCCCTTGTGGCTTCACACTCATCCATAGCATTCATATGTGACTTATTAATATGAAGGAAAGCTTAGATTTGACATCTGCTTTGTGTTAACAAAAGACTGATTCGGTCCATTTGGGGTCTTTCATTTCCATGACTTTTATTACCAAATGCGGTTGAATTGTAGCCATTCAGTTTTAGCTCAAACCCCATCTTTAAAAAGTTAGTTTGCAATATGAAAAAATGTGTCCGTTGAGAAATACGGATTACTTTGACTTTGGAAGATGCTTTTTTCTGGCTTAAAAACTAATCACCTTAGCAAAGTTTATTTAGCAGTGTGTATATTTGACCCTGCTTCGATGCATGTCCAGCTGTCCTTGTGCATGAAACGATTTGTCTGCTGACCTCCCGCTTCTGCCCTTCCCCTCCAACACTCTTTGAAATCCATTAGCTGTAACCCATTGAGTGCCTCTAAGTGCACAGAGTTTATGTTTGTGCGTGCGTGTGTGTGTGTGTGTGTGTGTGTGTGTGTGTGTGTGTGTGTGTGTG